ATTGCTGTTTAGCTGGGCCAGGCCAGGTTCAAATCCGCCAGCCTGGGTGTAGGTGGCTGGCGTCCTACCCACCAAGCTATGGGTGCTGCCCTCGTCTGTCTTCTTTAGAGAAGGTTCTTGTCAGGATCTCCTTCTATCACCACTTGTCAGGGCCCGGGACTGGCCAGGTCTACAGGCCCAGCTTAGGTAGGTTCTGGATGTGGACCACTAAGCTACTTTGCTCAGGAACAGTTTCTCTTAGGTGCTTGAGGGCTATCTACTTTAGCTGGGGGGAGGGGGGAGAGAATCTTAGAGTAAAGCAGTCTTCTTAGAACAGATAGATCTTAGTCTTTAGCAGAGCTTGGTAATCTTCAGCAGAGAGATGCCCTGCTGGCGTTCTGCAGGCAAGAGAGGAAACTTGCTATCTGTTTAAGGATATTTGTGTAGCAAGTAGTCTTAAAATATAGAGATGACGACTTTCTCTGGAGCAAAAGACTACTGTGCTTAAACCCTTGTAAGACAGAAATTGAGGTTTCTCCATGCTTTCCCCAGTCTTATAGAGTCAGAGTAAGTGGATCCGTGATAGAATGCACATGCCTCATCTGCCTGCTCCTCCAGCCTAATATAAGGCTGAGCTCGTGCTTCTCAACACCACAGGTGCAGAGACTGCCAATTCACCAATGCTCTCATCTCGCGAGCTCTCTCGTGCCTGTTAGAACTAAATCTCTCTCCATGCCCTTTTCATCAAGGTGTTCCATTACAGGTATTTCCCCTATAACTCTCACTCCTCCTAGCCATAGGCTATATGGGCTGCTATATTCCCCCCCCCCCTTTTTATACAAAATAACTTAATGTGGTAAGGGCAGTTCTTCCTGTTATCTAACACTTTTTCTTGCTAGGCAAAGTATGGTAATTGATGGAGTCCAGAATTCCAGGTATGGGCTCTTTAAATGATGAAGCCCAACACGAATGTAAACTATTAGCTGCTGCTAGGGAAAATGATGATTATGATGTTAATTTCCGTAAAGGTCTTTTAAGCAGAGAAGACTTGGAAACCTTTCCTGAGAGAATTTACCGTTTCTTTAACTGTAGGAACTTTCCTTTGATATTTACTTAACAGATGATGAACAAAAGATAACACTTTCCTTGCAATCTTTGCAAGCAAGGATTTTTCTCTCGTTATTCCAAAGGTTTTGCTACTCGTGATACTAAAATCCACCCTTCACAGATCGCAAAAGACTATTATTCGTGGATTAATGGTTCCACACTTGGCAGTTCCTCTCGTGGAACTGTTACTCGTGGTCCAAAAAGTACCACCCTTCACAATTCCTCGATAGCAGAGTTTTTCCCGTTTTCCAGCTGCTTTTCCAGCGAAATTTTTGCTAATTGATTCCAGACTCCTTTTTCAAATGGAGTTCCCTAACAATGGTGGTTTAACTCTTACTCTTCCCTCCCTTTGGTCTCACCTCTCATAATCTTCCTAAGGCTTCACTTGCTTTCTAGTGACACTTCCCCTTTGGGCCGTGTCCAGTCTCCTTAGCTGGACCCGGTTATAGTGCACAGACACTGATGAGAGGTCGGTTACCCCTTCACCACACAGGATAACCTAATATTCCACAAACATATTTAATCTAATTATTCTCCATTGTCATCCATTGGTCTGGTTTAATTTCCCCACTTTTATGCTGAGGCACCACAGATCTAACCAAGCTGGCAGAGTGCTCCCATGGCATAGAATTGAATCATACTGTTTTTCCAAGAATAGTTTGAAGTGGAAAAGAAAGAAATTTTTTTCTTTCATTTACCAGTGGGTCCTGATTCTGTCCCAACTGATAATTTCCCTACAATAAAGGTGTTCCATCTCTATCAAATAATGGCATTTGTTTGCCCAGTGAAAGCCTTTATACTTGGGACAAACACCTGGAGGTTTACACGCTCTTTATTCCTTTTCTTTAACATTCAACGTTCTTTTCCCTTTTAAACACTTTTCTCTTATGGCCTAGCTTCCCACATTCGTGGCATTTGATGTTAACCGGGGGATTTACCCTCTGATCTTCCAGCTGCCCAATTTGAGTTGTTCTGTCAATATAGCATTCACCTGCTTCTACTATAAGATTCATCTGATCGCTCAACTGTATTTCAACTGCTGTATCTCATTTGCCATGATTTTTCTCTACTGGCTTTTTCTTTTGGCCTTTTACTTTTTACAATCTTTCCTTTTCAATTCTTAGAACCTTTGGCTGCCTTAAAGAGACAGGAGCTCTATAGCTGTTTCTTTTTACTCTGGAGTCTTACTTGTTTTACAAACTTTACTTCCTCTATTTCTTCACCAGCCTCAATCTACCTCAATTCTTCTTTTTAAACAGAACTCTTAACTGCCAAAAAGGGATTCGGGGCGTCGATCTCTCAAAAAGCTACTTCCTGCTGGCATTGGGCGAAGATATTAGGGGAAGGCAGTTAGAAGTTCTCTTCCCTAACTTAGTAAACTCTTGCAACCTATTCCCAAACTTTTCTCTTTGCTGTTTTACCAAAGGCTTTTCTCACCCCTGAGGCTAAAGGCTTGTTTGCTAAAGGTTCTTATCTCCTAGTTCTGTCTTTTCTCTTTCCCTCTTGTTTACAGGCTTTTTTCTGTTTTTTCCCCTCCAACCTTTTCACAGAAGAGGCTAAAGGCTTGTTTACTAAAGGTTCTTATCTCCTAGGTTTAGCTCTTCTCTTTCCCTCTTGTTTAGGCTTTTTTCTGTTTTTCTCCAGCAGCTTCACAGAAGAGGCTAAAGGCTTTTACTGGCTTTCCCCCCACAGTACTAGTTAGAATTTGGAAAGAGAAAACGTAAGAAAGATGAGGAAAAAAGCAAATGAGAAAGGCCTGCTGTTGGCTGTCATTCTTAGATAGTTCTTTTCCCTGTAAGTATTTCTATTTCTCTTCTCTCTTTCTTATTTTGCTAAAGCTTATTTCCCTCTCGGTCAGCATTCACTGAATCCTGCTCACAGCACCATTTGTCAGTGGCGTTCACTATCCCGCTTCTGACACCACTTGTCAGGGCCCGGGACTCGCCAGGTCTCTTGGCCCAGCTTAGGTAGGTTCTGGACGTGGACCACTAAGCTACTTTGCTCAGGAACAGTTTCTCTTAGGTGCTTGAGGGCTATCTTCTTTAGCTGGGGAGAGAGAGAGGGAGAAAGAGAGAGAGAGAGTGTGTTTCTTAGAGTAAAGCAGTTTTCTTAGAACAGATAGAGCTTAGTCTTTAGCAGAGCTTGGTAATCTTCAGCAGAGAGACGCCGTGCTGGCGTTCTGCAGGCAGGAGAGGAGACAGAGTCAGAGTAAGCATCTCCGTGATAGAATGTGCATGCCTCTTGTCTGCTTGCTCCTCCAGCCTAATATAAGGCTGAGCTCGTGCTTCTCAACACCACAGGTGTAGAGACTGCCAATTCACCAATGCTCTCATCTCACGAGCTCCCTTATGCCTGTTAGAACTAAATCTCTCTCCATGCCCTGTTCACCAAGGTGTTCCATTACAGGTATTTCCTATAACTCTCACTCCTCCTAGCCATAGGCTATACGGGCTGCTACAGGTTCTGTTCATGTCTCTTGCCGTGGTATAAGGGATTGTTGGCTCTTTTTATGTTGCTTAATTTGAGTTCTTAGGAGAGACTTTACTGTTAATGTGTTGCCTGTGAATTATTAAAGAATACTTGGTGACCAATGAAAACGAAAACACAACATACCGATACTTTATGAGATGCCGTGAAGAAGTGCTCAGAGGGAAATTTATACCTGTAAGCACCTGCACTGAAAAAGAAGATTGGATACTAATAACCTAATCACTTTACATGTATGGTTAAGTAAGAACTACAAACTAAACCCAAAGCTTAGAAGGAAGGAAATAGTAAAATTAAGAGTGAGGATCAAAGAAATAGAGTCTGGACAAAAACTAATGAAAAATTTAATGCTCCCTTTTCCAAGTTTTATGTGTTTTCTTTCATTTTCTTGCCTTATTGCTCTATCTAGGACTTTCAGTAAAAGCCTCCCTTACAGCTAGAGATGATCCTGAACTGAGCCAATGAGATGAATGTAAAGAGTATAATTTCCAGGTCTTCTTTTTTTTTTTTTTTTTGAGACAGAGTCTTACTACGTCACCCTTGGTAGAGGGCTGTGGCGTCACAGCTCACAGCAACCTCAAACTCTTGGGGTTAAGCAATTCTCTTGCCTCAGCCTCCCAAACAGCTGGGACTACAGGTGCCCACCACAATGCCCAGCTATTTTTTGGTTGCAGTTGTTTAGCTGGCCCAGGCCGGGTTTGAACCCGCCACCCTCGGTGTATGTGGCTGGTGCCGTACGGTTTATGTAATGTTCTTTTGTTTGTTTTTTTCATATTTTTCCTGATCTTAGGCCAAAGGTAATATCTCTAGACTTCCATTTCCTGGTGAAACCCAATAGGGCAGGAACAAGTGTGCTTGGTCTGGTTAGTGGATATCTAATATTAAGCCCCAGGAATGGGCCTCTTGTTGCTGCTCTTAATCTTTTTTACCCCTGGGTCCCTTTCCCCTCTCCACTGGGGAGAAGGAGTCCCAATTCTATGCCCACCTCCTCAGAGGACGCAGGAACCCTGAAGTCATGGAAGCCAGAAACAAATGGAGCAAAAAGGGATCTTTTTATTGGACAGTGGATGAGACAGACGGCTCAGGCTCGGGCATCGTGAATGAGAGGACAAATGGGCAGTAGGAGAATGGGGAGGGCTCCGGGAATATAGGGGCAGATGAGGGCCTGCAGCCATGGGGACTGGACAGGCACAGCAAGGACAGGTTCCACCTGGGGGGAGAGAAGAGAGACGTGAGGCTCTGCAGGTCAAAGCACTCAGAGGCAGGCTCACCTCCCAGTACTCCGCTTATAGCCTCTGTGGCCCTTCGCCTCTCAGTCTTTCCTTCACCAACCCACATCTTCCCTCCCACCAACTGGGATTGTTTCCCACCACACAGCCTTCTTCTGAGTCTTCATGGGACCCCTCTTCCTCCAACCCATACTCACCTCATTGGGGATCCATACACCTCTTCCCGCAAGAGCCCTCACAGCACTTCTTGGTCCCTGGGCACTGGGTATCACTCAAGCAGTGGTTAGGGGGATTAAGCATGGCACAGCGAATCAGAATGTTGGGGCAGGAGCCAGACTTAGTGGAGCCTGGACCTCTCACTGGACCTTTCCCTTTGACTGGTTCAACATCTTTTCCTGAAACTTGTCCTTTAAGGGGATCTTGTCCTTTCAATGGAACACGACCTTTGCCAGTGCCTTGCCCTTTAGCAGAAACTGTTAAAAGAAGAAATGGGCCCACATCAAGACCCAGTATGCCTGCATCAACTACTGTACCTTTCCCCGGACCCAGCCATTGCCCACTGCAATGGTCCCCAAACCATGACCTCAGGTGGGAGAGGTGCACCCAGGTAGCTACACCCTCAGAAGGCTCTTCCCTTCTCTTTGGGGAAAGGGTTTATAGGAGTTCCCTTAAGTGTTTCTTCTCCCCTATACCAGACTTGTTCTGGTATAGGGGAGCAGAAGCCAGACTAGGATGACACTCAAAAGTGAGAGGATACATTGTCATTTCTGAGGAAATTTAGTGGAGGAGGAAAGAGCCATGAACCACATGCCAATAGGCCTGAGTTCCATTCTAGGTCTGGAAATTGCCTTGACAATTCCTCTCATCTCTCTCTGTTTCAGTTCCCTCTTTTGTAAAATAGGGTTCCTCAAAAAACATGATTTCTCATGTCCTGTTCCTCAACTTCCTCTTAGAGGACTAATTGCTCTAGGGTTTTCATGGGGCAGAAAAGTAGGGGACAGAGGTTACACCCAGGGCCCAGAAGCTGGGGCGTATCACTCGGTTGCATATTCTGCACAAGCAGCAACACCAGAGGTCAAGGTCATCTAACAACATTTCTTCCACAAACAGCCCTGATATCTCAGTCACTGGGCTAGAAAGTGCCTGGAGTCTGTTGGCCAACTTCCTGCTTTCTCTGAATGCAATGGCAATGGCCAGAAAGCCGAAGCATGGGCTCCGGTTCTGCTGACTGTTCCAGAAGCTCTCCCTGTCTAGAGCCAGGGGCCCCTGAAGAGCCTCACCTTAGCCCAAGCCAGCCCCATCAGATCACTTTTCTACTCACCTCCTTTGACAGCTGCCTCTACTGCCAGCGTCCCAAGGATGAAAAGCACCACCAGGACCAAGAAGCTGCTGGTCCTCATGTTGTCAGGAAGGTGTTTGACTAAGAGCTGACACCAAGCTGAGCTTTATGTAGCTCCAGCTTGGCCTGGCATCAGGGGCGGGGCTATGGTTTTACAAGGGACCAGATGTTTCCTTACCTCTACCAGGAAATATCTACCTCCATCTGGGGAGGGACCTGGGGATTATTCACAGGGAGACAGGACAGATATTGTGTCACATCACCCCTGATAGCCTCACGAGATGCTCCACGTTCTCATGCAGAAGCAGCACTGGCTGGCCCATCACCATCGCAACCAAATTCTTCATATTTCAAAAGATGATGAGTCCCAAGAAGAGAAAAGAATCACTGAAGCTTATTCATCAAGTCACTGGTAGATCCGGTCTTGATTTCAAAACCAGGGTGTTCCCCTACTATGCCTGTTCCTGAAAACCCCACCCGAGACCTATCTTATCACTGTACCTCTCCCAGTACCAAACTGGAATTTTCCTTCATTCTTTGGTCCTGAGAAAAGTTATATAAGGAAAACGTCTAATGTCTAATTATTGCCCTTTTATCATTTCATAGGTGGACTTTGAGATGTACCATGAAAGTAACTGGAAGGGAATTCTAGGTCTGGAAGTGGGTGATGCCTTTGAAATCGCAGTGAGCAGGAAGGAGAAATCACTCAGAAGAGAAAAGGAAAGAAAACACCAATCACCTCTAAGGAGGATGTCTGTAGTGTGTATATCCAGCATGCTTTCCCCTTTGTTGACACAATACCATGTTTCTTCTGAAGAATTATTGTCTCTTTGTGCGATCAAGTGGTGAGTCTAATGGAGACTGCTACTCATGAAAGCCTGACCCCCAGCCATGGGTGGGTGGGTGGGTGTGTATGAGAGAGAGAGATTCATGCCTGGTCTATTGAAGTCTTTTATTTGAATGGGCAGTAAAAGGAAGAAGGAAGTCCCTTTTTTTGTTAAAGGTGGTATTATACAAACTAGGGAATTCCAGGATTTATGGTTCCTATCTAAGGGTGGAGATCAATTGTCTGAGAAAAATAAACCTAATAAACCGAAATAAGCAGAGAAAAGATAGTGAGAAGAGATTCTGAAGGCACCATCGGCCCTTCCTTCTCCTTCACCTTGAGAGCAATAATTCCCACACCCTTTCCACGGTTGGGTTACAAGCCAATAAACTGGCCACCTTCTTCAGGAAGTATGACTTAGTATTTTGTCACTGCTACCAAAAGTTCTGAGTAATGGAAATGAATAGCCAAACGTTGAGTGTTGTCAGAGACAAAGCCAGAGGTACAAAAGTCGCTGAGTTGAAGTAGAGGTAAGGCAGGGAGGATGAAAACTGATCATGGGATAGTAAACCTGTTGGTTAAATCCCCATCACTGTCTCTTTAAATCACGCTCCATGCCCACCAAGCCAAAACTTTTAGGGAAATGTCAGAATGTTGAAGTCTGTTGGCTACTTAAAAAAAAAAAAAAAAAAAACCCAGCACACAGTAAACCATATAAACAAAAAAGTGTGTGGAATTTACCAATATTCTTTTGAGCAGCTAGGTAAAGAAGGAGAACTTTTACTGCATCTATGTCCCATAATCCTCCCCAGTTGCTTTATTCTCCCTCCTATCCAGGATAACCACACTCCTGGATATTATGGTAATCAGCCCTTGCTTTTCTTGATAGTTATACCCTCTCTGTCTGTACTCTGGACTACAAGTTCATTTTTGTATATATTTTTAAACGTATGTAAGTGAAATCTAAGGTATTATTTTCACATGTCTTGCTTATTTTGCTTGATGTTATGTTTTTGAGGTTCATCTATTTTGAAGCCTACACCTATAGTTCATACATTCTCATTTCTGTATAGTATTTTATTACATGAAAATATCAAAAATGTATGTGTTCATTCTACTGTTGTATATTGAATATTTCTAGTTTTAGATAGTGTAAATAAAGTTGCTATGAACATTCTGGTATGTATCTTTGGGAAAACATACAAGGGCTGGCAATTAAGTTCAAGAACTTGCCCCCATGTGCTTATGCTGGCATCACTGTACAAACAAAGTAGTAAGGTTTCATAACCTTGGTATACCAGTGTCTCACGGCTGTGTATGTGTCAACATGGTGATGCTTTGCTGAGTGGCATTCATTATTTTTGTGTGTCCTTGCAAGAATGTCAGAGCTTGAATCAGAGCAACAGACAAACATTCATAAATGTCTTGCTAAATTTGGCAAGAGTGGAAGTGGAAGAGTGGAAATTAAGGACAAGTTAGTCCAAGCTTATGTGCCTAATGCCATGAAGAAAATGGCAGTGTCAGGGTGGCGCCTGTGGCTCATGGGTAGGGTGCTGACCCCATATACCAAGGGTGGCGGGTTCAAACCCAGCCCCAGCCAAACTGCAACAACAACAACAAAAAAAATAGCCAGACGTTGTAGTGGGCAACTAGATTCCCAGCTACTTGGGAGGCTGAGGCAAGGGAATCGCCTTGGCCCAGGAGTTGAAGGTTGCTGTGAGCTGCGTGATGCCACAGCACTCTACCGAGGGCGATAAAGTGAGACTCTGTCTCAACCAAAAAAAAGAAAAGAAAAAAGAAAATGGCAGTGTCAAATGGGTTAAATGTTTTCTGAGGGGAGGGAAAGTGTCACTGATGAAGACAGTTTAGGTGGCCAGTAATGAGCAGAATGGATGAAAACATTGCAAAAATTCACTGAACAGTGTGTCAAAATTATTGGCTCTGAGAAGCCTAACAGACCAAATAAACATTGGTAGACAATGTTGGCAGACACCAGCTGGATCAGAGGACTATTTTCATATTCTGTACAGCAGGTGGATGACAATGATCATAATGGGATGCAAACTCCTGATCAAGATCAAGATAATTACTATATGTAAAGGGAATGTCAGAGCAACTTCTAAATACAGAAGAAAGTCCACTGTATCAGGGACCAAAGAAAGAACAGACTCCACTCTATCATAAACTACAAGGTGGGCCACAAAGATGGATCCAAAGACAGTTTTCCTACTCAAACTGAAGAATTAGCAAGTGACTAAGACCAAAACAAGACTCAAAATTCTAGTTAAGATGAAAGTCACAACCAAAATGAAAATAAAACATCAGGGACACATTCACCTACAGAATGAGCCCCACCCTGTCATGCATATTAAGACAAAAGCAAAAATAGATCCCAAGACATTTCTCCTACCCAAAATGACCCCTGAGTATATAGCAAGAATAAACACCTGACACAAAATCCTAATAAAGTTTAAGAGCATAGCCAAAATGCAAATAAAAGGCCAGACCAATATGCAAGAAGAAACACTTGAGCAGGAAGAACAGGGCAGACAGCAAGATGGATCCCAATGCAGCTCTCCTATCCAAACAGAACAGTCAGTAGATGACAAGGATCAAAACTAGACACAGAATCCTAACCAAGATCAAGTGTATGGTCCAAATGCAAATGGAATGCTTGGCCAATGTCCAAGTAGAGAATAAGACCTACTCTACTGTGGGCAGAGAGACTGTAACAAGAGAGGCCGGATGTGGTGGCTCATATAATCCCAGCACTCTGGGAGGTCAAGTAGGATGGGTTGCTTGAGCTCAGGATATAGAGACCAGCCAGAGCAAGAAAAGACCCTGTCTCTACCAAAAAGAGAAAAATTAGTGGGGCATGGTGGCACACAGCTGTAGTCTCAGCTACTTGGGAGGCTGAGGCAAGATCATTTGAGCCTAGGTGTTTCAGGTTGCTGTGAACTTTGATGATGCCATAGCACTCTAGCCTGGGGCAACAGAGTGAGACTCAGTGTCAAAAAAAAAAAAAAATGAAAAAGACTAGCAAGAGGTATTCCAAGAGAGGTTTAATATCATAATTATAGAGCAGAGACATGACAATGGTCTTAACTGGACACAAATCCCAACCAAGATCAAACACCAACATCTATATAAATCTGTGACTCATTCACTACCATGTATCTGTACAGTACAGGGCCAATTTCAAGGTAAGTTTCTTATGAAATAGGGGAAATAGATGTCCAGATGTTTAGAACTAGGCACACAGGGACTCCCCCAAACCATTATGCATTGATAACCATAGTCCACACCAATAGAAGTTCTGTCTTACAACCTGTGGGAAGATGAGCACCACTCCCTAGGGAGAAGAGCACCAGGTAGTAGCAGAGGGGGCCTCAGCTGTCGGTCACATGGTCCTAGAATCCCTATCCTTAGTGCAATATTCTTCAATGATATTTTTTGCACACACCTATCAGATGAAAGTGTTTTGAACATGCACCAGTTCTCTATGCATGTTTACCCATTTACAGTACACTCTTGTGAATTATTATACTTTAGATTAGTAAACCTTAATTTCTGTATCAGGATAATATACCATAGCAGTTGACATTTTCCTTCCACACGCCCATGAATGTTCTTGCACCCGTTAGGGTTCAGCTATGCTCCTTCACAGAGCACAGGCCCAAGGATTAGCTGTTCTTTCTCTCAGAATACAGGAAAGAGATGAGAAGGAGCTATCCCCGTGTGTGATGTGGGAGAGGAGATGGAAAGGGAGGCCCGAGAGAGGGTGAGGGACCTCAGGTGCCCATCAGACATTTGCAGTGTCAGCTGAGGGAACTGACTCTCAGAGAAGGGAAGTGATGCTTCCCTGTTCCTTTGCGATCAGTCACGCTGATGCTGAAGAGAAGGCATGCTCAGAAATAATGGCTCTAGCAGATAGCTAGTGGCCGGGCACCCTAATGTGCGGATTCCACACAGCCACAGCCACACATCCCATCACTTGGTGTACGTGCTGTGCTCCTCCTCTTATATCCATTAAGATGCAGTTGTACCAAAGGTTGATTGTCAAGCCCCCACGACTTCAGCAAGACTGAGCGGGTCAGACGATGTCACCTGTAGATGGACAGGCCAGAGGAGCAGCTAAAAGAGCTTTGGGGGCAGAGATCTTAAAAATAGAAACCAATAAGTCCCCTGGACTTTCCAAGGGGTTCTGTGTACGTGTTGATGCATACTGTCAACAT